GGACATTTCACATGTATTTCACCTTGGAGGCTTTACGTTGTTTTTTTTTCTGCTGACACATGTTGTCTTTTGTCTCCCATCCTGCGCATTGCCAGAAGAAATATATGTATATTTTCCTGACTTTGAAGTATTCAGCGCTCACGTGTGACCAAAACGCGATGGTAGTTTCACACATAAAGCGACGACATTCAGGCTCATGTGGCTTCTGAGAGGCTGTAGTGAGTCTGTGGGTTTCCCCATACACCTCCATGATCCACTGACCTATATTCCTTTGCTTCTCCACTGAAAGTGTGTCTCTGTATAATGCAGTTAGTAGGTGAAAGAAAGGAGGTCAACACCAGTTTCTCCATTCATCTCCTCGCAGGTGTTTGGTTCGACTCTTGCTCTCCACAATAGAGGGATCCAGCGATGAGATGAGGTGAGGGGGGGGGTATTATAGTGTTATTGGTGCTGTTTCCATCACGTCCATCACAGGTTTACACCCACGGCTTTACATTACCCCCGCGTAGGAATGGCACTGCGGATGTGCTGCTGCCGTACCTGAGAATGGGTGAGTGCAGGTGCAGCAGCGGCTTGAATTGCATTTTTGAAGAAGAAATACCTCAACTGCTGTGTTCCCCGTTTTGTGTGCAGCTCTGCAGAAGGTTTCACGCCAGTGTCACATGACTGTTGAGCAACGCACAGAGGAAGCAAACTGGTTCAGGAAGATTGGTACTCATCTTTCCCCACTGGCATGCTATCGCTCGACAATCTTGCAGCGCCTTCATTTTTCTCTGCGTGTGTCCGCGTGTGTGTGTGTGTCCTCGTTACAGCGTGGAACTCGGCTCTGCAGTGCAAGAGCCGTCCGGACAGGATGAGGGATTTATTTATGCTCTCTTACCAGGCAAGTGTCCTTATTAGCTTAATCAATATCTCCATTACGAGGGTTGAGGATCGATAACACCTGAACAGGGTATTTAACGTTGCCGTGGTAAGATTTCCCGGTATGAGATAAAGAATCCAAGTGGACTACAGTGACCCCGCTGTCCTCTGACCTTCTGACTGTAGAACCCCTGTAAGAGCCAATGGGTTTCTCTTTTTTATCTCCCGATGAAGCTCTCGCTGCTGTGCCCCCCCGACCGCACGCTGCTCATGAGCCAGAAGACGTGTCTGCTGCTGGCCGCCGCCGCCTTGTTGCACCTCTGCAGGAAGTCTCCTCCCTCCGACCAGGTGTGCCACCCACTCCGTGCTGCACACGTCCCACATTTAGAACGCTCTCCATCCACACGGATGGAAATTTACCAAGTCCAGTGGAGAAGAGCGGTGACTAACCACATTATTGATGCCGGCGTGGGCGTTTAATTTGAACCCCTGCGCCTTTTAAAGAGGAGGCGAACGCTAGGTGGCGATGATGAACCCAGAATGCATGAGATGTGTGTTTTTGTTCGGTCCGCAGGCTGAGCAGCTCACTCAGGCTCTGGAGTACATTCAGATCTGTGGGGAGGTCTGGAGAACCCTGAAAGCAACAGGTAGCTTAAGCAGCTCCCCGTCCCCCCCAGTGACAGCCGTGTTTAAGACATCTATTACAAAGTGGGGGGCTACAGAGGTGTGTTCTCCCCACGTATATGCAGGAAGCTCCCCGATGGACCGCACGGACACGCTGCTGCTGCTCTACGAATTTGAGGCTCGAGCCAAGCTGAACGACCCGAAGGCCGAGGCGGTGCTGGAGTCCGTCCTGGAGCTGGAGAATGTTGAGACCAAAGTGCTGGAGACGATTGCGGGTAAAAGCGAAGACGAGCGGCGTCCCCTCTGACCTCTGCTGACACGTGACAAGAAACAGACACGTTTCAGTATGTTTGTTTCTTCTTCTTTCCTACACGTAGCCTTAGCCATGGAGCGTCCGGCCCACTTCCCTTTGCTTTGTAAGAAGGCCTTGAGGGTGGCGCTCTCTTTGCACAAAAAGCAGCCACAGCCGGACCCGGCAAGCTGCAGGCAAGCGCTTCACCACGCAACGTGGAAAACCAACCCTCGACATTTTCACAAAGTGACATCCGTTGGCACAAAAGCCTTATTGGGATGAACGTTTTTTGTTGTTGAAAGTTTGCTTGTTTATGTGACTCCTTCTTAGTAAGTGCGTTCACAGCCTGATCCAGCTGTCCCTCCCGAGCGGCGTGTCAGAGATGGAGGCCCGTGTGCTGGAGGAGGTGTGGGACTACTACGAGGAGGCGCTGTCCATCAGAACAACCGCAGTGAGTCAGCACCAATCACACGTGGCCGTCCCTCAGCACCCACCCCGGTTCGCTCCAACACCACCGCTCCCTGCTGTATAATTAACCCCCTCTCTTCCAGTCCACGCGCTGCCTGCTGTTTGAGAAGACGCTTTTTTTTCCTCCTTTTTTTTTCCTCAATGGGCTTTCAGCCGCACTTCAATTAGCAGATGCTTCCATTCACCAGCCCCTTCCTGCCAATTTGAATGTTAATGTGCTGCACAAGACATCATACTGCCGGTGAGCTGCAGCTCTGAAAGAGGCATCAAATTATTGAGACACTGCTTCAGAGGCAGTGCATATTTCCCCTTTCATATGGAGTTATTACTCAAAAGCTGTGGAATTATTTGGATCAAAGTGAAAGCCTGAGATTAAAGTGGTGTGAAATCAATGAATGAAACTTTGGAAATGATAGACCTTCAGTCTGTTTAAGACTTCACAGCATCAGTAAATGGTTGACATACAGTAGAACAGGATTGGAATAAAGTTACTCAGTTTTTAGAATAATAGAAGAAGAAAAAAATGACTTCCTTCAGCACATTTGGGGAGTCTGCCAGGTTCTTGAACGGCTTCCCGCTCTCCTCTGCAGCCGGAAAACTTCCCAGAGACGGAGACCCTGTGGCTGCTGACTCGGGCTTGGAACACGGGGGTTCTGCTGTACAGCCTGGCTCAGTACCACGAGGCCGAGAGGTGGTGTGGCCTCGCCATGTCCTTCATCCGCCACCTGACATCGCTGCAGGAGAGTTACCAGACGCAGGTACGGGACCCCGTGGAGAAACTCGTCTTATGCCGAATTGGGCATTTAAAGAGACCTTTTGTGAGCGGTTTGTACGTGTCCCCACAGATGTCCGGTCTCTACAGTGAAATCCTGGACAGGTTGGACAGAGCCAAGAGGAACCTCTTGGAGGAATAATCAAACTGGGACGAGTTGCCGGTTTCAGTCCACTGTTAACGGCTTGTTCTCACTTAAACTGTTTCAGTTCCAACAGTTTCTTGCTGTTAAATGTTATTATAGTGGTAAATTGTTCAGATATTTAACTTTGAGAATGAGATGCTCTGAATCCGTTTAATTGTGGGATGTTCTGTGAGACAACTAGTCAAGAAGCATGTTATAATGTTCTATTTAGGTTCGGCCCATAAAGACTAAAGATTAAATTATTTTAAAACGCCAACGAGTTGTTTTAAGCGCAATGACGAGCAGATCAAAATCATAACTGAGTCACATATTTTATTTTCAAACAAATAAACTCTGGTCAAGTCCCAAAATAAAACCCAAACAAAAGTAGCAGGACTGTGTTCCCTCATGACGGGGACAAGGAAGACCATGAGGCCGAGTGTCCCGATAGGCTGAACCACCTGCTGTGACAGGAAGGAAACGACTGTACAATCAAAGGGTTCATGTTTGCAAGCACTTACTGCACAGATGTGCTATAATAGAAACATCACCCAAAAGTACAAACAAGAACCCTGACCCCCCCCGAAAAAAAAATAAAAAGCATATATGTAATTTCTCTCATCAGAACAAAGACCCTCACCAATTATACACACACACAGAGGCATTCAGGTTCCATCTCGTCATATACCACAACCTCAATGGAAAGAGTAAAATGAAATCAAGTTCTTTGGGCTTTGATATGGCTGACTGAGGTATGAGTACCACACACATCGTTAACAGTCAGCTGTATTCCAACTAAACACCAGAGGACCAATTCTAAACGTCTACTGATGTATTGATCAATGCTCCTGGATCCCGTGATAGCGTAGGTTTCTGCCTGCATCTGTTAAATTATTTATTTTACAATATATATATATATATTTTTTGTAATCTATACACCCAGACACGTTCCACAAGAAATCACATGTAGACAGGCCCTACTTGGGGGAATTTGAATTCCCAACTGACTAGTTAAAAGTTTTCCAATAGGCATTTGAAGAGAATTACCAACAATACAGCACATTTGTATGGAAATTATATCTCAAGAGTAGCTCAAACTTTACTTACCTGACATTTGTGGTCTATAAAACATGTTTGTCCCAGTTGGATTCACACATGCATGAAGCACAGGTGAGGGCGATCTGCTGGGGCCGTATTTACATTGTACAGCTACCACACCCTTTGAAACAGTCTGCAAGCAGTTTATTAATGGCTCTGTTCCCTTCGGTTATTCCCTGAACTCTGGTTTTGACACAGGTAATGACAGCTGGTTTAGCAGTGGTGCCTGGCAGGTGGGCACACCTGTTCACAAAACGCCTGCAGGTACAGGTGCTCTGTGGGCGGGCGAGAGCAGGGGACCCCGGAGGTCTGGGTTACCACTTCCTGTTGGCTCTGGCTCTCCAAGGGGAAGAAGAAGAAAGAAGAAAAAAGGGAAGGGGGGGGGGGAGGTGGAGGGAGCACAGTATTCCTTCTTCAGACGTGCTCGCTCACATGCACACATTATAACATACAGCGCAGAGATCCGCGTGGGAGGGCGGAGCAGCGAGTTTCGATCCCTCGGGCTCGGTTGAACCGCCCAGCAGAGAACGCCTTTTACTACTACTGCTGATACTCGTTCCGCTCCGTCATTCTGTCAATCCGCATCCACCCCGGACGCACCGAGAGCTCAACACAGTGGTTCATCAACAACGGGTGCGTTAAGAATTCATACGTGGTTTGAAGCCGAGGGCATGGAGGTTTTTTTTTTTTATGAAAACCCTGCTTAGGCGTTTTTTTTGGGGGGGGGGGGGGGGGGGGGGTGGCAGGGGGAACAATCCAAAAACAGGTTCAATTTACTCTTTAATTGTTAGGACATCCAATACAATTATTGTCTTGTTCTACCCGTTTTAAGGCCGCCGTCATGGCGGCAGATAGGACAGTACCATGTGACCATTCAACCAGAAGAGAGACTCCTCTAGGAAGGCAGAGAGTGTAATCGGGTGGTCTGCTGCTCAACATGAGTTCGGAGGCTCTGGCTGTCCAAATTCTAATCCAATGGCCAATTAAAAATCATTAAATAGGAAGGAAAGCACTGGGGAGAAAAAAAAAAGCGCCCACAGGTGGGATTTTATTTAATCTATTGCAGAGGTGAGACTTTGTTTCAACTATTGCACTTGAGTCGGGCCTCCTGGCAGTTGGAGGACACAGAAGTAAAAGTAAGAAAAGATGAGAAGTTTTCCTCTCTTTTCGGCGTGGACCGCGAGCAGCCTCCCTCACACACAACAGGTAGCCACGAAACAGAATTTGTATTTGATGTAAGGCAGTTTGGTGTTTTGCAGAGAGCCCAGTTACACATCTCTACCTCCATCCTTTACACAGAGCAGCTAAAAACCACAAGCAAATAATCCCACAAAGAAAGAAGAAAAAAAAAAAGAAAGAAAGAAAATCTCACAGCCCTCCAAATTGACAATTCTAGTGAAGTGTAAAATGTGTAGTTTTTAATATGTAGTAAAATCTCAGTGGGATTTTATAATTTATCTTGTGATTTCATAATATAAATGCAGAGATTCACAACGCGGTTCTTCCTCTTGACCTGCCTCCCGAGATGTCTTTATCAGCTGCAGCACAGACAACTGGCAGACGACCAAACAGCAAGCTGGTTCGTGATAAATAGATCGCCAGTTTGTAGGCCCCACTAATTTCCTCAGTCTTTATAAACAAGAGAGACGACCTCCTCCAACAATACCATCAGCAGGGCTCGATTTTATCCAGTCTCTTTAGAAAAAGAAAAGACAAACCTTAATTGGTCTTCACTTCTCATCTGGCACGTCTTTTTTAAATGTGATTTTGATGAACATTTACAAAGTGTTCCAACTTGGTCCGATTTGTCTCCGTTTCCCTGCTACTTCTTTTTTTTTTTTTGAAGCCCAACTCCTCTTTCCAGATTCCTGTAACATTCTGATCTTCAGGCAGTCCCAGTTCACAAAAGGATTTCTTCCCTTTCGTTTTCGTTTGACAAATTCCTTTGGAATGGCATTTCCAGTCTTGAATGGATTTGTTGAGAAACTCATGCAGGGGGGTGTGCACAGTCACAGTAATGGTGATAAGACTTCTTTTTCATTTAGAGAGTAACATAATGATGACACTAAAACTTGATATGAAACATATCTGCAAAAAGGAAGTGAGGAGGAGGCAGGGGAGGGGGCAAGGGGACGAGGGAGGGGGGGTATTTGGGCTTAGGTGGGGTCTCTGGGAGGCAGGAGGGGAGCTCTGCGCCGATGCAGAGGGGACGGCAGGGAGCTCAAAGCTTCTCTGAGGACGGGATCCAGATGTAGGGGCCGGACTGCTCCTCGATGATTAGCTTGATTTTGTTGTAGATCTCCTCTAGTGAGTCACCCTGTACAATAGCTGGAGACACAAACACAGCAGAGTCAACAGGTGGACTCGTTGACGTGGCAACAGGTTGTTCCCTGGCAACGATTCGGTGAGCCGAGTCACCGTTTCATTCAAATGGAAGGATTTGTGTTATAAATAGGGGCCGTTTCTATTGAGGTTCTCGGTGAAATCCTAATTTTGGAGGAAGTGATTCATCGGTGCTTTTTTTGAAAATCAATTTCCCTTGATGAATATTACTTGTCTGTGGCGGTGTGGCGCCGGATATGTCACGAGCTAGAGATCACTTTCTTACTGCAGTTTTCTGAAAGGCTAAATTAATATTCATTTTAAAAGAATATTTTGCTAAATTAACCTGTGAATTTTGGGTAATTTCATAAATTTTTACTCTTAAAAAGCTGAAAACAATTATAAATAAATAAAACGATCACGTCTTCAGAAGCCACAACTGGAAAATAATTCTACAAATGTATATAAGCGTAAAACCATTCACTCCCGGGCCCGTTAGTGACCACTACAACAGTGACGTAAATGCTTGATACACAAATCAGATTCTTAAACAGGTTTTAATTGTTGAGACTATCTGACAGCAACGTTTCTCTTATCTAATATTTTCTCCAATTGTCTTTCATTAAGCAAGTAATCAAAGGATATTAGTGACATTAAATATTACGAATGTTCATCAGCTACTGATATTCATTAGTGACCCAAAAAGCAGAAACGCAGCGAGACCAACCTGTGAAATACTCTCCAAAGTCCTGCTCCAGCTTCACCGCCTTGTCAAAGACTTTATTGGCCTGCTCGTACGTCTGCCTCTTATTCATTTCCCTGAAAACGACAACGAGCTGCATCAGTCACGCGCTTACGTTTCTCGACTGGACTGCAGCGCGGGAGAGAAGCTGGGACTCACATTAGGGCTTCAATGGATTTTGGTTTAATAAAGATGGCGATCGGATAAAGTTGTGCTTGCTGCAGTCGTTTAATGGCGTTCCCCGACACGTCCAGAATGCAGTGCTTCCCCTGCTGGAAGGCGCAGACACATCTTTGTTACACTTTCAGATTGCGGGACACAGGTGAGCCACATGTTCACTTTGGTTCACGTGTTCCTTCAAAAGTGCAGACTAATAACCCGGTGGACCATTAATTACAAACATCTGCGTTCAGAAGTCGCCAGGAAGCGGCACACGCCTCCCGATTCCTGGTCGACCCGGTGCTTACCCGCTCCGCCACAGTTCTGACCGACAAGATGCTCGTCCCATAGAGGTTCTCGTTGAACTGGCCCGCCTCGATGAACTTGTTATCCTGAATGTCCTTCTCCATCTGCTCTCGCGAGCCCACGAAGTGGTAGTCCTGGCCGTCCATCTCGTTCTCTCGCCTCGGACGAGTCGTATCTGCAACGAGACAAAAAGGGGAGGCGGGGTGGGGGGTGTTTAGCAGTCGCTGCCGTTGCGTTGAGTCGGACCGCCTGTGCGCGCTCGCGCCTGTGAACTCACGAGGTACGCAGGAGCCGAACTTGTGGGGAAACTCGGAGATGAGGTCATCGTTTACTCGGTCCTTCATTGGGCCCAGTATGATCACAGGCCGCGTGTAGTGGACTGCAACGGAGACGAGGACGGGGTGAGGACGCATTTAAGAACGCACAATGTACCGTTTGCACTTTGCCTGTTGTGTAGAAGCCAAATGACTCACTTTCCTGTCGAATGACGGGCTCATAGGAAAGTATTGTGTCCTCTTGACCCTCTGCAATAACAAAACACAATCACCTCATTTAAAGAAATACAAAAAGGAGGCGAGAGGGACCATAAAACACCGAGGGGAATATTCATTTAGAGATGTTATGTCACAGGTAAACGTAATCTAGCATGTTGTTCATTCATCTATGTGGGCAGTGTAAAACAAACCAAAGGTGACTCACTCGAACTGCTTTCACTGTCACTTGTGTTGGATGTCAGGCATTCTGCAGGAGCACAAGAGCGAGTCACAGAACATTTAAAAACCTGCCTCAACAGCCTCCGGAAAAAAAAGACCCCGGTTCCTCAACATTTGCACCATTACAAAGAACAGGATAAAGGAGAAGTACTGTGTGGGGCGGCAGCCATGCTTCTCGCAATATCAGGGAAGTGGTTTAAGGGGCAAGCAATAGGAAATTAAGTGCTTCCTTGACAATATCCCAAATGCCCCCAAATCCCTGGCCAAGGTTTCCTATTGCTCGATCTCATAACAGGGAAAACAAAAAGGAAAAACAGACGTCCACAGGAGGGAGGCAGGAGCTGACTGACTCAGGGGAACTGGAGGCACAGCAACACTCGGCTCTGTGCGACAGATGTACTGCAGCTCTCTGTGACCTCATCTGCCAATACATTTATCCAAAAGACCCCATGAGACAGTCAGGGCGAGTGTACGGCTCACCGCCTCCCTCGGGAATGCAGATCTTACATGTGCTGTGAATCTGTACATATACGTGTGTGTGTGTGTCACTCTAAACTAAATGTGTGTGTGGTTCAGCATTCCCTGCTGCGTCCGCAGTGACGAAGCATTTCCTTTCTGAGCTCGGGGGACAGTTGCTTGACACAGTACAACCACACACTTACTCAAACTCTTTGATCCATAAAAGTCATCGCTTAACCCTGGGAAGTCCTAGGTGTCCCGACAGGTGAGAGCAGAAACCAAGAGAAGAGAGCAGACAGGAAGAAGAAGAGGTTAGTGAGAGTTTGGGGGGAGGGGAAGGGGGGGAGGCAGAGGAGCGCTGTGCAGTGCTCGCCGGTCCCACTGACACATGGCGCTGTGCGCATTACGCCTGAGCCCCACGTTGATCATAGGGGGCCATGGCCCTTTTCAATTACACAAGACCCAATCCCATTAAAATGGGATTTGACCTGTTAAGTGTCAAAGCTGCGGTCCGGTTAAGGAGATTCTTGTTGTGGGTCAGTGACTGACTGCAGAATTGATCAGGACTCGTACAGGGAGGAGCACTGCGGCTTTAGAAGGCCCGTGTGTTAATGCGGCCAGGCCCCCCCACAACACACACACGCACACACACACGCACACACACACACACACACCCCCAGAGAGAAACCCCACACATCCAGCCCGAGGCCGACTGTGCAGGTGGGGCGTCTCTCGGGGGGTGTGAGAGGGGATGAGAGTGGTGCCGTCGCACACAGCGTCCCTGGAGGTGAGCGGAAAGATGAAAGTTGAGAGACAGAACTGAAGCATGAAGTGGAGATAGGACAAAGAAAAAGAACCTCCCGCCCCCCGACCCCCCCCAGACCCCTCCCCGATCAAACAGCTGGTACTCACGTTCAGAATCTCCCAACTCCTGCACAATATTCTCCTTGCTCTTGTAAAACGGGAACTTGCGTGAGAGGTTGAAGCTTTTTTTGCGCTTAACCTTGACTGTCTGCTTGTCGATGTGTGGGTGAGAGGGGGGGGTCGAGGGGGGGAGGGTGAAAACAAAAACAGAATGGGTTTCAATGAGGGTACTCAACATCCACGCAAAAAACAAATGAAATGTAAAAAAAAAACAAAAAAAAAAACAGCACATCCAATGATGAAAATGGGAAGCAGGTAATGGGTGAAAATGAGTGACGTAAACGTGAAGCGTTTCACATCAAACCCGACCGGCCGTCAACATTACAGCTGAATTATTCCTCCGCAAATTACTTCCCACGGTCCGGCCATTTCCTAAGAGCACGCGTCTTAATACCAGCGAGGGCGTGCGGGGGGGCCGCGCGTCTCCATGGAGCTCCCGTGTAATCTATACAGTAACACGAGCGCTTCTTGTGCCCTGCTTCAGCGCTGGTCTCGAGTAAGGGAGGGGGGAGGGAGGGGGGGGGGGGGGGAGGGGGGGGCAGGCCATCTCCCTGGGAGCCAGCAGCAGCTCTGAGGGTCGCCTCGCCGGCACCAGGGCGGGGAGCAGCTGGCCCGCTTCACTTACTCTATTGGACTCAATCATGCCCGTCCTGGCGTGGAACTTGACTGTTTTTAACCTGGCCCGCTCTTTCTTCTCCACCCTGAGATGAGAAAGGAAGAAGAGGGGGGGGGCAAGGTTAGAATCGGGCATGAAGGGCAGGCGTTGCATCGGCGCGGTCTGCCGTCAGCAGGGGGAAGTGTACCTTTTCTTGCTCGGGATGACCCCAATCTGCTCGCTCTCTCCGTGCGGCGTGACCAGACGCGCCTGCCACCACTCGTCGTCAGAAGCGTTTATGACATGGAGGATATCGCCGTAGGAGAAGCTCAGGCCTTGGCTTGGCAGGCAGCTGTCCCTCGTTCGATCATAGTCAAACAAAGCTCTGCAAAAAAAAAAAAAAGCTGCCGGGGTTACGGCTTTTCATCTTGAACTTGCATGAAGAGATTCCAGATTCGCTGAGATCCAATTACTACATACGCGGCACACAAGGGCAGGATTTACATTTATTGCATTACTTTATTAGTTTTGACAATATAAAAAAAAAAACACACAAAGTGTGTCATTCATGGATTTCCACGTCAAATACTTTTCACCCACAAACATTCGGCGCTTATTGTCTCTCCGAGTGCGTCACCGTCTCGTCAGACTGGTAAACCCAGTCATTTCTTTAAAAAGCTATTTCCGTTTCCCTGACCCACAAGCCGACAGCACATGTAGGATATATTCATGATGCAATCCTGTGGAAGCTTGTATGCTGCTCTGCTCGATGGGTGAACCGATGCCAGACCTGTGGCCAAAGCTGTAGTTGGAAGATAAATTGCTAGTAACTAATTATGTAAATGCACTCACTGCCTTCTATTAAAGTGTTCTAATGGTAAGTGACAACTCTGCTGTCAATCCCAGCATCATGTTGGTGACATTTTTATGTGGACAGACGAGCAGGTAAAACGGGCAATGTGGACATATCACATGAGAAGTTGATGATGTAATTACTGTGACAAACCCGATATTTTTACCTCAGATCGCTAACCGGAACCTTCTATAGCCCGGTTACTTCCAAAAGGGTTTCAGAGAGTGAGCACATGTCACACTGTTGGCTTTTCGTTGCTGTTTTTTTTGGAGAACACCTTTAACGCCTCCACATTCCTGAGACTCTGCTCGCGTTAGGGAGGACATGGCGGCTCCTACAGCAGTCGGCGAGCTGGACAGCTTTTCCAACATAACTGTGGGCTTAGTCACGCGCACAGGAGCAGGCTAGGCTCTACATGCCCCGTGGGAGCCCGTCCATGAGGGAGGCGTGAGTCAGATGGTTAACACTTCTCTCTCTGTAGCGGGGGTCCAATGAGATAACACCTACTTTTGATACATCGGAGTACGGTGCGTTGCTGTTGAACTTGGCCTAAATCAATCTGGTAATGTCGCCATTAGGCTTAGGTTAAGTGAAGCGCATTCGTGCTGCGGCAGAAATGCAGCAAAGGACTCGGGCCGCGGCGTGTTACATCACACCGTCCTTTCCCCTTGACCCCCGTAAAGCCCTTTGGACTCGCCGCTTCTATGCGAGAGGAGCAATGTCTCCGGTTTTAAATCCTAAACGAGCCTCCGTCCAGATTGGCAACCGGCCCAAAGTGTCATAACACAGGTCACTTCGACAAGCTCCGATGTCAGTCTGCGTTACGCAAAGTAGAGTCAATGTCAAATGAGGCATCAGAACAACAACAGGGGCGGCGCGTCCATCAACAGCAGTGATGAGTTGCAGCCACCAAACTGTAGATCATACGTTACCCTACAAAAAGCGCAGTGGGAAGATTCATGTGTTTGAACTCTGACAGTGGGGCCTCTTTTTAAAAGGTTTTTAACATGTGTTGTAAGGGTTCCCCCTCGGCAGGTAGACATTAGAGGTTTTTGGACTCCAGATCTTACAATATCACGTTGTGAGTGCAAGCAGCGTCCCCCCCCGTGTGTGCGCGCGCCGCAGCTTTACCTGACATAGAGGGAGCGTTTCTCACTGGTGCGCAGGGAGCCTGATCCTGAGCTCATGCTGCTGTTCATCATCTGCTCCCTCAGGTCGTGGATCTTGGACTCAAAGCGACTGTACTCTGCGTTGGGGGGGGGGGGGAACAGACAAAAACACACCGTGTCAAAAAGGAAGTTTGCCTGGCCACTTGGGGAGGTGGTACTGATCATCGTCTATTAAAAAAGCCCCCCCAAAGAGGACGACGCTCCCTCGTTCCACCGGGAAACCGCTTGAGACCTCGGTTGGCGGCGCGGAGGAGAGAGGAGAGGAGAGGTTTGGCGGATCCTACCGCTGATTAATGACCCCGGGAGCAGAGGGTTTATCACAGATCTGCCTTACACATTCAGTAATGCCTCATGTCAGGCAATTAATTACATAGATTAATTAAGTTCTACATGGGCTCTTTAGTGTGGTTAAAAAGAGAGAGAGAAAGGCCTCCAACAATTTCCAAAAGCATGCCCATTTGTCATTAGGTGTGTGGATCCAGTTGCAGCTCTGGAGCACAGGGATGATATACGAGTCCACCTGGACCTCCTCATTAAGAAGGCTCTCGTTAGCCCGCTGTGCCCGGGCTGCTGGAACGAGGCAGGTTACCGGAGCACACGGTCAGACAAACAGAGCGGCAGATGCAGCTAGAAAAACAAGTTCCCTCGTGTGATCACACAAAGGAGGCGTGAGGGGCCACACGGAGGCAGCAGTGACAGCAGCCACCATGGTTACACGTTTAAATAATAAAACACTATTTACACTGCTGATAACAGGAAACCAATCGCAAGAAGGACTGAGTGTTTCGCCGTTTCAGGTTTTAAAGCTGTGGCAGGGAAGATAGTGCATGAAAAAAAACTGCAATCACGTTTTCTGAAAACACAACATATCTGACTTGATCCCAATTAGCCCATAAAAAGGAAACAGGTGCTACAGAACATTGTTCACATTCATTCCACACGTCTGTTTTTACTGCCCTGACCCGAGGAGCCGTCTCCTACCTTATGGCTTAATCATCCTTAGCTGCCAGTACTTCCTGTAACGTGAACAACCCGAGATCAAAGTCCTGATTATGATCCTGCATAAAGCCTTGAAAAACAAAAACGCCCATGCCTGCAATGCTTTTTTAGCAGAAGACACGCCAAGTCCCTGGAAAGCTGTGAGCAGGTGCAACAACAGCCCCGTGGCCGCCGAGCTCCAACCACCTGGCGAAAGAAGTCAAAGCAAACCCGTAAGTGGAGCCGCGGGCCCGGCGCCAGCTCTCCACCCTGGTCTCCGCTCAAAGGGTTAACGACACAACAGGGTGACGCTGCGAAGTGAGGTAACCAGACACCGCGCGACTGCCCGTAACCACGAGCAACGCTTCAAGCACCCCTCAGCACAGCGACGGCACAGGCGGCCATTAAGACAAGTCCACTTGCTGGTTTTGTTTCCTCGGGACGATATAAAGAGTAGCTGAGGTGTCTTTCCTAAAGCCCGGCCGGAAGCGCCGGCTGGGAGCTGCACCGGTGATGTGGGGCAGGTGGAGGAGCGGAGCGCTTTCCTTGTTCTCGTTCTTCCATTTCCAAATGAATCGTCACACACATTCAAGAGGAGCGCTGAACTACAACCCACTGTGATCGATCGGGAGTTAGGGTGGGAATCTTCAGCTGCACCATCAATTGCTGCCGCGCCTTGTCGTCAACGACAACATCCGCATACATACGTTTTCGTCACACACCTGGGCAACAGAGTAGGGCGACACACTAATCAGGCTCGGATTCGTGTGCTGTATTTACATTCTTTATAAGGAAGAACTTTCGGGTTGCAGTCGTTTCAGAATGACATGCAACAGTAGTGGAAGCAAACACCTCTTACACAGAAATGGAAGGACACTCCCAGTACAGGAATCCCTGTGCTACTGAAGAATGAACATCACAACAGAGCCACAGGAGATCAGAAGATTATACTGAAACCGGGTAACAGGAGGACAAAAATGCTCCAATGACACAAATCTTAGTCACAACTGTAACAGCAGCATTTATTCATGGGATCGCCCACCAGTAGGGAGGCAAACTAAAGCAGTTTGCATAACCAAGTGTGGCTTAGAGGAATAAACCTTTGTATCTCCATGCATTCATCTTATTGGTGTCTTGTAAAATATTTTTTGGACTCAAAAATGATATTGAACACCCTCAAATGGTAAATTTGTCAATTTAACACGCCATTTACTTGCACCATGTTCTCTTATCGGTCTTGCTGTCCATTGTTTTACTGTCTGATGTTATGCACCAAATGCCAAGGCAAATTCCTTGTACGCCGAACATATTTTGGTAATAAATGTTCCTGATTCCTGAGAATCATACAAGTCAGAAAATAATAAAATGACTAGTGAGAAGAAAAGAGTAGTGCAATTACTCCAACTTGCTGCTCCCACTGTGCCTGCTGATATTAAACAGCTGAACTAAAGGGAGACAATAAAAACGTAATCCTGCTCAACTTGTATGGAATAGAACAAGTAATGGATGGACATGCAGAACACTCAATTTTTCTATCCACAATCAGGGCGGTGAACTGAGTTACATTTAGAAACGATCTGATGGCTACAGATTGTTACGAGAACAGAATATCTGTTAGGAATCAGCCGTATAGGAGATTTATTCATACAAATCTCGGCTAATCTGAGTCTTTATGGATCACCCCGACATCAATTATTCATTCACATCACTACTCACGATTAAACCGCTGAAATACAGGGGATCAGAAGTCCTCAATTGTTAACGGTACAACTTTGTCCCTGAAAGCGCTTAAATACACAAGAGCTAGCCTTTATTTTTAGGAGTGACCCACAGGAAAAAAAAAAAAAGACAGCTAATAGAAACTGGGACTACTCGATCACCCGCTGCCACTGCGTGTCCTCATTAGGCGTCCAGCCTTTTCATTTTGGGGGGCGGTGGCTTCTTATTTGATCCGGTTATGCAACACAGCAGGCATGTACGTGTAATGGGAGACTGTTATGTTCTCTGGGATAGTCGACCCAGTGCACACACACACACACACACACACTCCCACCCTCTGCCCAGTAATACACTGCAGCAGGAACATGTAGACCCTGCCTCCACTATTTCTGTGATGCACACTGGTGCGAGTTTGCCGAGGGGGGCCGTCGAGTTCAACGTTTCCTCCTCGGTTCTCCTCCCATTTCCTACACGCAAAAGATTTTAGTGTAATTACGCTCTTTGACAGTGAGGCGAGGCAGCGCGTGGATACGCAGCCCTCGCTTCCATTCCTTCCAGCTGAACCGGAGTCAAAGACTCGCTGATGCTCCAGTAGGCCGCGGAGAGTCCGGGCGGCTTCTTGTAGTCTTCAGTGCTGGCCTTCCATCAGAGATATTTCAGCGCCCCGGGCCCCCCGAGAATACTCTGCAGGCAGTTTGCCCTGCGTAAACCGGCATTCACCCACAACTCCCCCCCAATCCACCCAGCAACTGTGCATCTCACTGGGGGGTTCCTCCCGCTCCAAACTCAAAAACGTACGACATGTCACAGCGCTTCAGGATGCCAGCAGAGTTACTGCAGACAGATCTCAGGTCACCAGGGGAGACGCAGGAAGTCAATCATTTGCCGGCGCTCGGCTCGTCTGTTTTGAGCAGTCGAGCGTTCTACACAAACAGACGAGTGTCCTTCACCGTGTTACAAAAGAGGGGGGGGGGTCGCGAAAGCCGAAAGGATGGTTTGCTACAGGAAAACAAAAGGCTCCCTTCAGCCAGCCACGTCGTCATTCAAGCCGCGGGCCCGGTCGGCCTGGCAGGCAGGACGACGTTTACTCACGTGGGCCAGAACGAAGCATTGTGCATCAGTATTCCAGCCATTCAGCCCATTTTTATCCAAGCCTGCGCCTTTGCTCAACTTCACCGATCCACCTAAACGTCAACGACCTTGGAGAGTTATTGGACATTTAGGGCTTGTGTTTTATTGAAAGGGAGTGAAATGTGGAGTGAGCGCATGCTACAACGTATGCCCCTTCACATTCCTGTCATAGTCCAACTTCAGAACGCAGCCCTGGATTCTAAAGCTCACGCTATCCTTCCCATTGTTGGTACAGCCTTTCTGCAGCACGCTTAAGTACACATGCACAGAAGTACAAAAACACAGAGGGAGAATTTGGCTGCACAGGTAACTTAGCTGTAACGAACAAAGAGTGGTGGACTCGTGAAATTAAAAACTGTTTAAGTATTAGTTAATTAGCCAACTCGTACAAGAGCTTCACAGGGCGACGTCACCAAACCGCCACCAGCAGGCCGACAAACACCTGTTGGAACACACCTGTGTCCCCACCTGAAACAAAAAAGGTTTGTGACACAGCAAACACAGTAACAGTGTGACCAACACTACTCCCGCATAGTATCACTTACGACGTAAAGCGTCTTAAAACTGTCTCCAAGAAGGAGACGAAAAACCAACAGGCCCAGGTAATGGCAGCAGTCGTTCACCCGGGAAGCTGCCGCGGTGAGGACAGCAGGGTGAGGCTGTTCTCGCGACAAACTCACTTTTCACGCCGTTTAGAAGACCGAAACTCGTCAACTCTCCCGGGAGGGAAACGCCAAACCCGCGTTCCGTAACCGTCGCGTTGGCGCGAGTGGCGTCCGCGTTGAGTCCAAACGGGTTCACAGGTACAGAGACGCGAGCCGACGTCGCCGACGGTGCGCTGACGTTAGCGGTCGAGACGGACCTGTTAATTACCTCGTGCGGGTTTTAGTTTCCTGCTGTCGGCTGCCCGGCGGTTTCCGCGGTGTTTCTCCCCTCGTCTCCCCTCGGCAAAGAGCGGACCGTTGGCTGTTATTTCGCCGGGTTTTTCTTCACCCAGTCACTCGGGAGTTCACGCGGCTTTCAGTCCGGCCCATCCCCCATCCGCACGGGACTGCTAGACAGATAACAGTTGGAAGTTCTCTTCTCCCCCCCCCTCCCCTCCACCCTCGTTTTCCACCTTTTGTTTAAAAGCTCTTAAAGAAACGTTCCTTCCGGCGTCGCGGGTCACGCTTTTTAAGCTCAGGTGTGTCGTCTTTCCATTTTCGGTTTCGGTGCCCACGAACGGCGCTGCCCGGAGTGCTTAAAAGAGGAAGGACGACAGCAGCGGCTCCTTTGCCCGCCTCGGCTCAACTCCTCAGCCCCGCTAGCCAACGAGCTAACGCTGCTAACGCTAACCCTGCTAACCGCCCCGGAACCTGGATGCTGCATACGCAGAGCCTCGCCGGGGCTTTGCCCTCATTAGCTGCTGGCCGGGCATCCACCGGCCAACCGAGGTGGCCGCTGAGGCTTCGTTTGGGAGTAATTAAGTGGTATTTTCTGCTTTTCTCTTAGTGTTGGCCCTAAAAGGTGTTTTTTTTTTCTTTGCTCAATGTCCGTGGGAGAGAAACGGGATAGAAAGTTCCGAGAGAGGATGTCCACCACTCTACACATCTAGTAGCCTAGCTTAGCACAATGCCTGGAAACAGGTGAAAACAGCTAGCCTGCCTACAATAATAAAATAATGAATATAATTTCTAATGCAGTTTTCAGCCCCACATAGCCAGTATATAGTAATACAAAATAGTTGTGAAACCAATGAAAAAAAGTAAAAACAAAACATTGCACAGCCTCTGTTAAAAAACAAAAGCTTATTACTAGCGCCACTAAATGTACCGCATGTTAACTCATCTTTACATAATCTGTAGTGTACAAACAGACAGTCTGGTTTTACAGGCTGGTATTTCCTGGAATCTTGTCGTCGTTGGGAGGTTGCATTGAGCTGCAGTGCGTTAAACATTGACCAGACAGACATAAGCGTGCTAAAGTAGGCTGCAATATAAAACTGGATTACTAACCAGAAGTGGGCAACAATCCATGTTTCAATAGATGTGTGAGGAGGGGGGAGGGGGGCTTGGGGCCATATAGCACAACAATCTGTACCCAACAGGCCAATCTGGCTCAAGAATATTTTTGATTGTTGATAACACTTTCCGAAACTGCTTTCCGGACCCATTTTGGCTCAATAACCATGTAGTATTAAATGTGTGATGCGAGACAGCACGGCCTCACCTTCAGGCCTGTACTGAGCTATGATGGTGACAGTCTGTCCAGCTCTCTTCAGTGCTGCAGCCGCCTGCTCATGTGTGGCATTCCTTAGGTTCACTCCATTCACCTGCAAATAACCAGGCAGACAACAAGATCTTTAAACAATGAACCCCAGTGTACGTCCTAAAGGTGTGCCGCTTGTCTAATTCTGTAGTTCTGAAGAAGAAACAAGTCTAGCTGGAAGGAGCAGTTAAGATCTGCTCTCAATAAATATAATCCGATTACAGGTTTGTATGAATATTATGCCACTACAGAAAGACCACTTCTTTTGACCTCAATTTTGCAAATAATTCACGCTTAGAACAACTGGAATTACTTGTTTTTGTTTTTCTGAGAAGGTGTTGCAGTATATTTTCATTTTACATAAAACACATAGTAGGAGCAAAAGTGGGTTCTAAAGTCAAGGGATATAAATATGTAATTTAATACATTTTTTATTGATCGACTTAATTACCTCGTCCGTCAGAGCACAGCTCCGCTACCTCTTTAATTTAATGTTATGCTCAAGGACATTCCAGCAGAGCAGATGCTTTCGGGCTTTACCAACACTAGGCCAGCTTAATTCTGTGTTCTATAATTCTATCATATTCCGACAATGGGAGGTTGCTTTTACTGCCTAAAACATTTCACCGTCGTTTATGTGGGCAAACGGGAAACTTGGGGTTGAGATACTGACCGAGAGGATCCGGTCGCCCCTCCTCAGCTCGCCGCTCAGGTCAGCCGGACCTCCTGCCAGGATGAAGGAGACGAAGATGCCCTCTCCATCCTCGCCGCCGACGATGTTGAAGCCCAGGCCTGTGGAGCCCTTGTGCAGCAACACCTTCCTCGGCTCCCTGCCAAACAGAGTGACAGGTCCAGGGTGAAGGGCAGGACAGAGAGCACAGCAGAAACGGGCAGAGCGAGATATGCGCAAAACCGAAATAAGGCGAGGCGTATACAGAGGCGACAGCCATCTTCTGTTGTGTGTGTGATCGCAAAAATGTCGAGTGCTGCAAGCCGTGGGCCTGCAGATCTTTTAGAAGATGCACTGTGCATACATTCCATTGTGAGTGCTTTAAATAGAACATTTGAATGATACCTCTGCAGGACCACTCACCAGAAACACACAATGATTAACCATGAGGTAATCATTTAGTTATTGTTGTGGAAGTTAGTGGATAATGTCCTTGGGAGAAATCCAAAGTATCTAAAGCTCGTTTGTGATCCTAAACATAGATGATGTGGGTTACATTGATCACAATGCAAAGCGTTCGGCAATAGACACAATGGATGCGATAAAACAAGCAGCAACACGATCAGATCAAAATGCATATCAACTGCTGGCCATAGGACTTTCTGCTTTGCATGGCAATCTCATGGAAATGCGCACACGTGTACACATTTAAACACCCACTCATATTAACGTGCACAGACACAATGAGCCACCTCCTGCTCGACAGACCCACTCTGCTTTAGCTTTAGCCACTATGACTCATCCTTCAGCAGGCGATTCAGACTGCCACAGTTTTAAGATGCGAGAGAGGCCAAACCGCTGCAACGGTCCGGCAAAAAGCCCTCTGAGAACACACTTCACACGAGCGCAAACACACACACTCCAGGAAGCTCAGCGTTGGCCTCGCACAAAGACGCACACACACACACACCCATGTACACATTATTTAGAAAAGCACACATGCACCTACATACGTACACGCAGACACACACACAGTTTCAAGTTTTTAACAGCAAACACTGCATGGTTTCCATTAGTGATCTTTTCTTTGAGGACTCAAGCCTGCAGTGTACACCAACAATTCCTACTCAATCCCTCGTGGCTGCGCTCGAACTTGCTGTTTGGATCATCTTCCCCAATTGACGGCGCCCGAGGCAGCATTCCACACTCAGAATCGTACCCATGACTGACTGGAATGACTAAACGCTTAGATTGCTCCACAAAAATAAATTAAGAGCATCGGAAAGTCCTAAATAGTAAACCTGTGCCTACAGAAAGGCTCCCGGATGTTTAACCGGGCTGTTAATGTGTATTCCTTTGAAATTAACTGCACTTAGATGCAGATTATATTTAGTAAGTCCACTGCATAAGATCCAAAGCAGCATAGTGAGTCTGGGTTTGCAGGACTCCCAGCGAGTAGTTTTTATACAAAGGCAGAATCAAGGACAGATTCTGATCGTACCGACAAGCTCAAAAGAGAACTATTTTTTATTTCTTCTTGGTAATAAGAGAGAAAAGGCTCAAATGAAATAAAAAGTGCAGAATGCCTTGAAATATGCTAAAACAACTGACTAGCCTTCAAACGAGTCAAGCTTAAAATAACCTTGCTTTCCATCTCAACGAGGCACTCAGGTCTCCATGGTTACCGTAGGGTCCGGAAATGGCGCTTGCTTTGGAAAGAGCATTTCCTAACAGTGCATTCAGGCAGATTCCTCATGAGCAACACGGAAGATGAGATGTTGACCGTGAACATGGTGGCTGTGGGCACATCGCCTTAACTCCTCGAGCCCTCCTCCTGTCTGGCCCTCCACCGAGAGGCGGGCCACGGTTTTAGAAGCGCGTGAGTCTGGAGCCCGGCGTTCCCTATCTCATCCTTGTGTGCTGTGATGGGAAGCAGCTCCTCTTTTAGGCTGTCACAAACACTCTCTCCACAGCATCACCAGGAAGGCGAGACCGAACATTTAACCCCAACGCTCCCATGCATTCAAACGACGTCTGTTGAATTCTAAGAGAGGAGCCCCCCCCCCCCTTCAACCAAAAGGAAATACAGCACACCAGCATTTCTCTCCATCAGCCCTGATCCCCGGGAGAATAGGCAGACACATTCCCAGTAGCCCCTCGAAAAATAATAATAATACTATGGTACATTTCCTGCGACCTGGCAGCCGCATTAGGCCCGGCCCCCTGTGCATGCGTGGGTTTCTGCATAGACCGTTTTCCCTGCAGAATGTGCATCGCCGGACCACGCTCGTGGAAAATGGGAGCGACGGCGTACAGTTTGAAATGCAGGGATCGAGTCCTCTCTCGCTATCACAAGACCTGCCCCCCCCCCCCCTTTGGCCTTTTTAATTGTTGCCAGGAATGTAAACAGTAAGAGCGGGTAAAAACTTTTTATTTTTTGCCCGCCCATTTTTTCCTGTGAACTATTTTATTTAATTCCCCCCTCCCCCCTCTCCCTGGTTATTTCCCCCCCGGTTTGTTTCGGGGTTGGTCACAGCTCAATCCCAAAGCTGGGAATGGATATCTGGGCTGCAGGGTTCAGCGGGTCATGCTGCCCTGGACTCGGCCCAGTAATTGGCTCCGCTTGGCTGATTAATGTTGGGCACTGCAGATGGACGCCATTTTCAATAGACAGGCGCCACCTCTCGCTGCACTTTGAATCCCCCCCCCCCTATGAATAGAAGCGTGTACTGATCAAAAAGTAAAATGATGCGTTGTCGCGGTATTCCTTTTCACTGCTTAATTCCACGTATTTCCTGTGTCTGGCTCCTCCTCGCTATTTTCTCCTCGGAGGGACAAAATAATTCACTGCAAAGGTGATTGACGGTTGGAGATATTTCAAGCCTCTGGTCGTGAGTAAGAATAAAACAGAGCGATGAAGGATTAACACCTAAGAGGAGAATAGGCTGAATGTGCTCAAATAATAAATAAAAAAGGTAAACGTGTTCCCTGTTATCCATGACTGAATTCTTGCGCTTGTGCACGTACATCAGACGCATTAAGTAACTGATTAGCTCACCTGCTGCTGCAGCAGCTTCAGTGTTCATGTAAGCCGTGCTTGGACAAAGCAGCCTGACTGCAAGCATTGTTGTGTACATCTAACAACTGCAGCCCCGGTACGACCAGCAGAGGGGAGCTGCTTTTTTATTATTTATAGTCCCTATTTTTTAGGGACTTTGCACACTGTCACCACTGAAGTATGTTTACACCAAACATGCAAAAAAGGCAGAGACAAAGGACGTAAAGTACCAACATGTCCCCCAGAAGAAAAGGGGGTAATATCAGATGGGAAAGGGGGAGGATGTGTCTGCGATGACACTACTGAGAGGGATGGGCAGATGGGCAGAGGACTGATACAAGATCTGACTCACTCCTCACAACCAGCCTGCTCCCTTTCTGCAGAGGCCCGTGCTTACTACAGCATCCATGTAAAAAAAAGCCCCTCCCGGTCGGAGCCAATGGGGGAAGCTGCTGCAGCTCGGAGGGAGGGGTCTGCTACGTGTCCGTCACAGTGTGATGCGGCTGGATGCTCATCCGCTGTGATTGGGATCAAGTCGGTTGTCGACCATGATGTCCTCAGAGACATTCTTTTCTGATTATGCAGCGGACATGACACACGAAAGCCACGAGGGCCGGACAGGTGCACGCGTGGTCACAGTATGTGGTCCGTTTTCATTTGCACCACTGATATAGCTGTCTGGTGTGCAGGATGTATACCCACAGGTATATGTCCCTGTCGTTATTGTGCATTGCACTTAAAGCGCCTTCGTCTACGAAGCGCTCCTACGTGTCAGCACGCTATGAGCAAGTGTGTCAGCGTACAGTATGTGTGTGTGATCGGTGCTGGCAGCATTGGTGATGAGAGGGCTAAGACCCGAGTGCATGGCCTGGTTTTCCCAGTGTGCTGATGAAACATGACAGCTGCAGGACTGTCTGCTGCTACTGGTCCGCTGGCCCCTACAGATCAGGCTCCTACTCCCATTATATTCACAGCAAGGCTTGGTGTTTATATTTACATAAATAGAGCAGCAGCTAAAACATTCCAACAAATATTTGTGTTGGGTGTCTCCAATCAGGCCCCTCTTTTAAACACGTCAACCGGCCTTCAGTCACAGCAACACCATGTTCGGTCCTTTTGTCACCCACAAACACACACACACACACACACAGAGGAAAACACATACGGGCAAAAAAATGCATAAATGGCACACAATATGAGCTACTTTAAAAAAAAAAAACACTACACAAAAGCAATGCTACACACACACACACACCGGGGCTTTCATGCGTGCAGTGAAGCAAAATGGGCGAGACTGTAGATGTAATGCAATGAATATGAGAAACAAATAAGCTAAACTAAATCAACCAACAGGAGGCCCTTTTCACATTTGGTAACGCCGAACAAATTGCCACAAGCATCATGTGTGTTATTGTTCAGTAGCCACCGGTGGCAGTAGCTCGGTCCGTGATAGAGGCTCGGTTTTGTCGATGCCTCCTGACAGATGGAGTTGAGCAGCTTGTGGGAGCGTGAAGCCCTTTCGGCTGCACTCCCGTGGAGATGTGTTGGAGAGGAGCAGGTACGACTCCATTTTAAAGTGCGATAAACAGGACACTAGCGATTTGGATTCATAGATGTGAGCGGATTAGTCGTAAATTGATGGACAAACAAATAACCGCAGGGCGAACCTTTGAAATCCCAAAACAAAACCTAGCCACTAAAGGCACGAAATAATAAGCCAATTTGCTTTTATAGTATTTAGCATACATAGCAAACATAACGAAGCGGCAACACACTTGGCGTGACAGCATACGAAGCGGCAAAGACGGGGCGGTGAGAAAACACACATGCAAACACAGAACGCTAAAAGAACTCCTTTTCCGTCTTTCTCCTCTCGGGCCCATTTCTGTGGCGGAACGTGCGACTGGCTGTGGTCGTGGTTCCCGTTTGGCCCTACCCCTGTCTAATGCCGGACCCCGGTGCTAAGCTGCATAGACGAGGGTCAGCTGAGCGAGGCGTGATGGTCTAGGTTAGTACCTGCCAGAGAAGGGGAGCGGACCGTGGCACAAGGGAGCAGGGGAAGGACAGAAGCCTCTGTAGAGGGCCTGGGGCACCTTGATGTCCCCAGGTTTGTGGATGACACTGTAAATAGGTTCAGCCCTGCTGTGGGGTACAGGAATCACAGTGAACGGGACACAAACAAAGCACACACACACACACACACACCGACAAAGATGCCACGAATGCACATACGAGTCACGTACACAGCTTGTACAAGGGACATTGCGGGGCCACATAGCGAAACACTCATCCAGTAACACATTCCCTGCACACAGGCTCACAAACGCCCGCATGCAGTGTCGCACACACAGCCCCCCCCCCCACCCCCCCCCCTTCTCCCCTCGAGCTGTGGGCTAAGATGACTGGAGCTGTGGGTTAAGATGACTCAAGGCCTTGTGGGGCACTCCAATCAAGCCTCTATGAATGCTACTTTTGATCCACTACTTGGATATGAGGTCAAAGGTTAAAAAACAGTCATAACAAGCACAAGAAGTGACAAGGGGCCTTCCTGCAAAGCATTTGGTCAGCACACAGACACCCAACACACTGTCGGGCCGCAACGCAGCACGCGACCACAAGGGCCCCGACGAGCTGAGGAAACGGGAAACAAAGCATTGCTTTTTTTGCTTCATGAAACGCTTCGTTGGAGCAATTTTGAAGTTGCTGTATGTAGATATGTTGTTCGACACCATGACAACGCCTTAAAATTTAAGAGAATGGAGACAAAGGGAAACCCATGGAAACAAAAAAAAAGACTCAGAATTAGAATTTAGCTCCACAGCAGTTAAGTCTTCAAGAAGTGGATTTCCACAAGCAATGTGTGAGGGTGGGGGGGGGGTCAATCATGGAGGAAGTGGGCTGCAACATACCTTGTGAAGTCTTCCTCCCCCAGCATGTGACGGGGAACTGGCGAGTACCTGGACGGGGTGACCTGGGGCGGCGGGTACACTGGCTTGGGCTCCATCGCCCCCATGTAGTTGTGGCCGACGTGGTTGTCCACCATGGTGGGAAAGGCTGGAGGGAGGGCCAGGCCAGCAGGGGGAAAGAACACATGATTACGCAACACAACAGCGAAAGGTGCAGACAAACTGTAAATGAGGCAACAAAAACAACAATGACCATGATTTGTTTTGCAGTTCTCTGCTTGTGTTTCTTCTTTTCTTTTAACTCAGTGACATCCATGGATATTATTAGCGATTGGAATGGTGGCCAAAATTTATAAAAAATAGGATCCCGGTTGTAGGAAACCAGAATTCAGATGACATTTGGCTTTTTAGACGTAATATGTTGTTTAACGACCAGGATCTGTTCCAGTAATCTAGACTTATTTTAAATCGGTCCGTCCTCTTCTCCACTGAGTGGATTTCTTTCTGAAAAGTCGGAGAATTACATAAACAATCTGTTACGGTTATGCTGTTTAAGCGAGGTTAAGTCTGCAGTGAAGGTGCACTCAGAACCCGGAAAAACCCTCCTTGCAAACATTTTAGAACATAGAAACTAGCTCCCTACATCACTGTTCTTAGGAAATTTGAGAAGCTGCAGCTCAAGATCGTGGGCTCCCATGAGCAGGTGGGATGTGAGAAACCATCCACACTCGGTGGGAGGCAGAGAACTGCGCTTGTTGTTGCTGTGGGTAGAATGATGTGTGTGTGTGTGTGTGTGTGTGCATTCACTACATTCATTATGTGGGTGTCTGGGCATAGCAGCTTTTGGGGAGAGATACAACACCAACATCTTTGACAAAGATTTAAAAAAAAAAAGATGATTCCCAGTGAAAGAAAAAAGGCTCCAACACGGGCCACGACTTATAAAACACCCTCGTAGTGGGAGTGTGTGACCGGCGGGGAGACGAGGGAGATACGTACTGCTGGAGTAGTCTGGAGGGGCGTACATGTCATTGAGGTGCACAGGTCCCGGCTTGGCCACCTTGAGGTAAACCATGTCAGAGGTGTTCTTCAGCGCAGCCACCGCCTCCTCATGACGCACGTCCTGCAGCACGATGTTGTTCACCTGGATGGGATGATTGTCACGAGGAGAGAAGAGGAAAAATCAACACCTGCAACGCAGAGCTTCTTACCTGCACTGTGACAACGTCGCGCGCCGCAGCGCCGGCGATCACAGCAGCCGAGACAATGAATCACAGCTTAGAACATTTTTAGCAGTACAGCGTTAACAGAGGTCAAAAGAAGTAGGCAGGCAAGACGCTCTCTGAGTTTCTGCGGTTTTTCTTTTAAGAAAAGAAATCGGAAATGAAATGGAAATAGAATGTGGAAAAGTTGCTCTTTAAAAAGGAATCCCAGGAAAGTTTGTGTAAACTGGGAAATGGTCTGGATCTCGACCAGTTTAATAATAAGTATAAGTAAGTAATAAAGTATAGTCATTAAAGTAAGTAAGTTAAGTAAATTATAATTTCTTAATAATCGTAATTTGAATGTTTATTTACTTTTATTTGCCTTTGCATTAAAAAAGCTAATCAGAAAGGTCAGTGAATTCTAGGGTTGTTTGACAATACTTTTTACATTATGTCTTATCAGAAGTTGCTGCACTGGGAAGGTCGAGCCAGTACAAAGCATGTTGAACAAGCACACTCGATGCAGCCAGTTATCGGATGCGAGTAATGGCCAACGGAGGAAAGCTGAATGTGTGTCGTCTGTCTCAGTCAGCTTATTATGACAGGAAAGGACAACATAACCCATTCGGTTATCTACGCAAAGCACATACGTGCCCGGCTGAAGCGATAGGTGCTCATAATCAGTCCGACTAACGACAGCTGGATTTTTGTTGAACGCCCCAGTGAACTACACGAGTTCTCCTTTGATTTGAATATTCAATGTGGGAATGAGTCAGAGGGAGGCTCGTACAGCGAGCAGGCGGTCTCCGGTCTGCAGCCGTCCATCTTTCTGGGCGGCTCCTCCCTCTATGATCTTGGTAATATAGATGCTGTTGTCTCCTGGGATGTGTTGGTTGCCGATCCCTCCAGCAATGCTGAATCCAAGGCCTGGTGGAGTAATACACACAGTGAGATACGTCTGCAGGTAAACACATCACCTGTGACCTGTGAGAGGCCTTCTCTATAACAAATGCACTTCCGGGAGTCAAAACTGAATGACCATTATCCCTAAAAGTCAGCTAACACCTACTTATTCCAGCAAGTCGGTGTTTAATAAGCCTCAAAACCGTCTTAAGTGGTCGTTCAGCATTATCGTGAGAAGAGATGTATTTCCATCTCAGCGCGGGATGAGTGGGACGGGTCCCTGACCTTTGGGCCCTTTCAGCAGGTTGACCTCCAGGATCGTCTCGGGTGGCGCCTGCCTCCGTCGGACCAGCAGCCGCACCACTGGCCCCGCCTCCTTCAGGGCCTCCACCGCCCGACTGTGAACCACCTCGGACACGTCCACTTCGTTCACCCGCAGCACGCAGTCGTTCACGCTGTCGAGGGGGGGGGGGGGACGTTTTTAGTTACGGACATTCATCGCACGCTGTCAGGTGGCAAAGAACGCACTCCGTGTCAGGACTATTTCATATTTCTAGCTTTGGTGTTCCAGTGAATCACGACTTTGAGGAAACACACGGAGCCCGGGGGCAGAGGACTGCGGAGACTCCGCCTCCCACGCTGCTCTGCCTGGCGGGAAACGGTGGTGGCGAGCTCGAAAAGTAGGGAGGTTAAAGTATGAAGAGGACAGAAGGTGCAGAGGAGCTTGAAGAGGGAAAGAAGGAGGCGAGGAGGGAGGGGGGACATCTAGTCTAGATTTGACTCCTCACCGTCTTACTCATAGTACTGTTAAAGTAGCTCTTAATCTATTTCACGGCGTTTTCAAACCAGGATTCTATTGTCTTGCTTCCTTCGTCTTGTTATCTGCTCTTCATTCACCTGGGCAGCACCTGTATCTGCACAGTTAGGAGTGGAACTCACCCGAGCCTTCCGTCCATAGCAGCCGCTCCACCGGGAATTATCTTGGTGATGAAGATCCCCGGGTCGTCGGGAATGTGGGGATTGTCTATTCCTCCAGCAATGCTGAAGCCCAGGCCAGAGTTCCCCTGCACACAGGTTATGATTGGCATCCTCAGTGGGGAACCACAGACAACAGACACACACAGCGCTAAGTGATGCACCCAATGCGGGCTCAGGGTCAGTGCAATGTGGCTCCTCAGTGTATCGGTATCTCAGAAGAACCCGTGATCGATGCATGCTGCTCCGGGCATTTCTGATGTGCATTTTCGGGACGCATGTGTGCGTGTCCTTGCGTATTTCATTAGAGGAGGGCCCTTCATTGAAACGTCACAGTCATCCCGTCAACCCGGCAGAGATGCATCAGTGTCAGGAATGCCCCGCGTTTAGAGCAAGGTTGATTTAAGATCCAAAGCGAAGACGAGCTGAGGAGCATCATTCCCGTTGCATCTCACCCTCTGCTGGAGACACACTCCAGCACCTCCCGTCGCCGAAACGACAGAGGACCCACTTGGATGCGGTGGGTCGAAGTGCACTGCTGCATCTGACAGCGGTTGCCACAGAGACCAGCGGCATACAAGACGGTCGAGAAAAGACTTTCGCTTTATTACATTCTATAATTAATGAACAACGGTCACAACGAATTAGGACAGAGTGAGGCCGAGGCCTCCCAGTGTGCTGCTCCGGAGCAGAAAGGAGTACGCGGGGCCTCACGGCCAAATGTTACACAGCCACAGGCCTTTTAGTGTGTGTGTGTGTGTGTGACTGCATAGCTTATTTAAAATCTCCACTTGGAAGAGTGGAAGCGGCAGAGACCGTGTGCATCTATAGTGGATCGGAGGTGCAGCCGTATGTGGGTTGAACAATGAGAGTAGAAACATAAAGCTCGGCCACTACAAGCTGAACCGCCGCTGAACAATCGAACAGGAGAGCACTTCCCAAATTCTGCTGCCTGCGGATGGACGGCGCGCATGGGGATTACGTAAAAAGGTCGTCTCATCGCCGCTATGCTGTGCTCAGGCTCGCATGAGGCACAGAGCGGCGATGCGAGGGCTACAAACATCACCGACGCCGCAGAAGAACGTATGATTCTCCTGAAGTACAGTAATCAGGATCTTTCTCTGGGTTTTCTTTAAACTCCCTGAAGGAGGACTGAGCTGCTTGCTACCACCTAGTGGGGAGAAATGTTTCTGTCATGCGGAAAATGAATTAAGGGGGAAGGTGTAGTGTTGTGTAATGTGTTGTAACAAGCAACAGGTAAATCTCACCCGCTCCAAAATGATCTCTTCATATTTGTACATCCCATCACTGCCATTTACCTGTGAAAACAAAGAGCATGATGGTTAGTTTCATACCCGAGTACCGCATTTGCTAGAAATACAGTTTAGAAAAAGCAGCCATGTCCTTCACCAGACTCCTACAGAGTAGACTTTTTGATTTGTTGCAATCAAAAGGTGTCTTTCCTTTTAACGGTGCACAAGCAACGCGTCAAAAAGAAAACGCGCGACTGCAGAATGCACATTCACCCCAAACCGGCAGGGTAAGAGGCATAATGGATGTCGGTCCACATGGCAAACAGCATGTTGCTAGCAGGAGGAGGCCTTTCCCTCCACACACACACAAACAGACCCTGCGCTCATGCAAAGAGGAGGCTGCGTGGAGGAGAGAGATGTATGCTGTACAGAGAGGGGGGGGACCAGATACTTACATAAGGGCCCGCATCTATTGAGTCCGCGTTGACGATGATGGGGGGAGGGTTGGCCTGTGAAGACGAAGAAATACACGTTATGTTATTGTGCGAGGCTGGCAGCGCACACACACACGCGGTACACACGCTATCACTCGGGAGCAAAGGCAACGGATGCCATGGGAACAGTCAGTTCAATTTCTTTGGGGATGATACGGTGTGTGTGTGTGTGTGTCTTTATTAACCGCCACAGCTGGAGGACGTCCTGCAGACGTCTCATAATAGCGGCCGGCTTGTGGTTCCAGCCGTCGGGACGATACGTTTATCACACAAATCCTTTTCACTTTGGCTTCACACAGAAATACCACCACATATGATCGCATAAAGAATTCATGATTTCATGGCTACTTAATCATTCAGTTAGATTGACAACATGTGATACTCTCAGAACACTGCGAGGAATCGCTAAATAAGCTTATTTGATTACGTAATTTAGTTTAATTTATGTGTACTGCTGAAATGGTTGATTGACAGATTGGACACAATTATTCAATTTGGATAATGAATGTATTGTTTGAGCCATTTATCAAGCAAGAAGTCATGTACTTGGTCCCGTTTCTATAATAAGGATTTTCTCTGATTAACTGTTTTGGTCTTTTAAACTAAACAAATAATTTAAACATGTCATCCAGGACATTTTTCTTTATTTTCTGATATTGGAAGCTTACCTATTAATCAATTAATGAAAAAGAATTACCACGTGTTAAACATCAGTTTAGTGTGGAATGAATGTGTCATCCTTGCAAATAATGCTATAGCAATTCATCTGTGGGAGTAGATCAAAAATTGTGCTGACTTGTGAAAATCAGTAATTTGAAAAATAATCACAATCGCTAAAGAAGTTTGAATGTTAAATTCTATACTTTATTCATATAAAAATGTATCATCATGGATTACACAGTGTATTTGTTGACCTTGAATCTCATTTTTGATGCTTTTGCCTGCAGCATAAATACAACTTTACGGGGAAAAGCGGTTTCTGTTCGTCTTTTTGGAGCACGTGAAACAAACTAATGAACTATTGGATACACGTCGATGCTCGGTGACAGAATCCGCCAGTACGACCAAGTCCAACCAAACCGCCGCAGCTACATATTAAGCTCCACAGTTCAGCTCAACTCTGCTGCGCCCCCTGGTGTTTCTATTTCCAATGTGAGGTCTGCGGCGCGGTTGTTCTGGCAGCAGCTTGATGGTCGTTTTGTAGTTCCGCACGCCGGCGGTCTACTTTTCATCGATCCGATTGAGCTGCGCGGGCGGCGGGATGCTGACGCCGCTGCTGGGGGACGTTACACTTGCCGAGGTCCGACACAGAGGAGAAAATCAGCACTTTTTCCTTGTTTATTGTGGAACTACCTGCAGAGATATCTGTGAACGATTGTCTGTATTACAATATGCATGTACATATACTGTATGTAGCGCTGGATAATCAATCAATAAAATAGGATATAGTGATGTAAGATTCAATGTTACCCTGGATTTGGTAGTTTTTAGAGGCTTTCAAGGTTGATTTTCAGTTTAGTGATTTCATTTTCCGGCAATATTTGAGTGTTCCAGCTTAATGGAATGAAGGAAGAAGGAATTATAGTACTTTCATTATATTCACATTACAGATTCCTCAAAAGCGTTTCAAACGCTTCAGTAGTGAGCCCCCCTTTTGATTAATATATGTTGATATTTTGGTATTTGTTTAAAAATATCACAAGAACCACGTTTTTTGACATCACCATGTGCTCAATATAAATATAGATGTTGAATTCTCAACTGTATTTCCAGAAAAACATTACCGTACATCTCCAATATAAATAGCTATACTACTAATGTAATTAGTACTTTTCTGGTTAAAATAAAAAGAATTGGAATTTCTTCATTTGACATCTTTAACCTGACAAGTGAAGCTATTTTATCCCAGTGATAAAATGAAAGAACCTAAACGCAGTCCTGCTCTGCGAATAACAAAATGTCCCACAACGGTAACATATCCAAAGACATTAAAGGGATCCCCAATGGACAACTCCAACTCTACCTTCACATTGGCAACATGTTCCCTCAACAATTTACTCAGAAATGTTAAAAATTACACTACATTGGCAATATTATTTGGCAAAAAGGCACCGAAGGGGTTTATAACCCAGTTGGCGGAACACGAGCCGGAAGCTTGAACCCTTCATCTCCTCGCCAGCTGTGTGCAGGTGTCACTTCACCCCCCTCCCACCCCCCCCCCCCCCCCTCCTCACCGAGTCCGTTCACGGTAATGAAGGGTCGCTGTATAAGCAGGAGCAGCAGATTTGACCTACTCCACTCGGTGATGATGTGCTATGACTCTGGACAGTTGTGGCTGTAACCCCCCCCCGCCGTCAGCACAATCAGACCGCCGTTGTAATCTGCACACGGACCAACAGATGCTCGCGTCTGCGCTCGCGTCTGCACATCTGACATGGCTGCGTTGCGATTTTTGGGGAGGGCCGCTGCCTCTCGTCGACCGGCAGGCCGAGCTGCCGAATCCACCACCGAGGCCACATGTGCCAAAACACACCTGCTGCAGTCTAATGCCTGCGGTGCTTATCGCAAGTATCAGAGCGGTCCAATGCCCCCCCTCCCCCCCCGCCCCCCATCCCCACCGGGTGGGATCACTGGACCTAGAAGAGCATCTGAAAGACAATAAACCCATCAGTTGGAGGAAGCGGACGTATTATCCTGGCCCGGGATTGCCGCATAATCCCTTTATTTAAATCTCACATAACAAGCGGACAAAAGGAATAATGAAATATAATCTCAATATGATTCGGCGATTTACTCAGGTAACTTGGATTAGCATGGATTACGCCGACGGGCCTTTACGACTGTTGGTAAACGTCTTCGCTGACCAGACGCCCAGAGGAGCAAAAACGGTGGATTGAGGACCTTCCGTTCTGACCACCACCGATGTTTGTGACACATTCTGGAAGTTGCATCGGTCTTTGATATAAAAGGGGCCTTTAACAGGAGACCAAATTGAATAGCATTTGAAAAGCAGCCTCTTGCAGATTGATTGTTTTTAGGACAGGAGGCGATCGAAATGTCTTTGGGTGTGTTCCGTGTGAATGTGGCTCATATGAAAGAGATTCAATGGATGAGGCAGAACAAGATTTCACACATTATGCCTCTGCATCGAAAAGGACGAGGATCACTGTTAGCGGCTTTCAAAGGAAAATGTTCAAACGCTACAACGATCAGAAATCCAATACCGGAAAGACTTTTCTACCTGTGAAGACCTTTTACATGGACGACACTTTGACAAGACGGCCTCATTTGCGCCTGGTATTAACACGTGACCCCTTTATTCTCTGGATGGTGACATCTGATCCATGGTCCTGTTGAGCAAGGCAGCAATGTTGGACGTGCCCGGTCCAAGAAACCATCATAAATGCAGCTCTATTGTGTTGAGATTTGGCATCCTGGTTACCATCAAATCTGCACCTTTCCTTTAAATTCAGTCATTGTGAAATGTTTTCACAGACAGTTGTAATTTACTCAGGACGACAATGGCTCAGGCGATCCGTGGACACTCGTACATGTGGACTGAGACGTGGAGGCGAGTGACACAGAGACATCGTGTACGCACAACGACAATGCGGCCAGACTGCTCCCACAGCGTGAGATCATTACAACGGGTCCCACGTGACCGCCGAGGAGAGAAGAACGCGTCTTTCTTTGCCTCCTCCTCTCACTGCCTCGTCTCCTCCGCCCATCTGTTCGCAATGGTTTCTTTCTTCATCAATCCATCATCTCGCCGTGGTGTCAGCTGAGACCGCGTGCGTCTGCCTCTTGTCTCTCGTCGTCCCGGCGCCACAGAGCGCCGACCTCGGCCCCCGCGGACCCTCGGGGCCGCACAGACTCCCGCTGAACCTCGGCGAGAAAAAGGGGCACGGGCTTCGTCCAAATTGTTAAATAATCAATGTGTTGTTATGGTAACCGGGGCTCGCACAGTATTGGCCCGCGAGCCCGCTTAGCCGCCCGCCCCCCCCACCGCTTTCCCCGCTTCACCTCACAGGGCTCTCTCACTGCAGTTTATGCGGCTCTGCGCTCACACGTGCCTGATGGGGGCCGGTTGTGCCCAGCTGCCTTTCACTGCTCCCTGTACACATCACACACACACACACACACACACGCCTCACACACATACACACACACACACACACACACACACACCACTCCTTAAATCCACATGTTAACGCTGCAATGGAGTCAGGAAACAGCTCGATGGCAAACACTGACACACAAATGCATCAGCTGACAATTCGACCACACTGCATTTAATAGCTGTACATAGATATGAATATATCTGTATACGCTACATGATCTGGGCGTAAATGAAACGGCTCAACATTTCGGTAAATACCATCATTGACCGTCTGGCTGAAAAATAGATGGTAAAAGTGAGGCCGCCTTCATGTCTGTAAACAGAAAGCTGTCGGCTAACACAGCGTGGTCTCATAAGTGGGGGAGGGCTGGTTTGCTCCGTCTAAACTGGTAGAAAAATGTACCCACGACTCAATGATGCAAAATATATCTTGTTGGTTTGATCCGTACAAAAACATTTAAGTTAGCCACTTTGTTGCCGTCGGGCGGATTCAGGCCGACTGTTTCCCTGTAGTGTTCAGTCTTTAAGCAAAGACCCGGTCAACTGGATGCTGCGGCTCAGCTTCGAACTGTGAGTGGTATCAAAGACGTCATCTCATAATCAGCAAGGAGTTATCTCTCAAATATGAAACTTGTTTTATTTACAACATACCAGTGATGCTGTTAGCAAATGCCCAAAAAACAGAACTAAATGCGCTGCAGCTCGAAATCGATTTTTTTAAATGCACGATGACACAAATGATACCGATGATACTTTTTTGCAGGTAGCATGGAGGGGAAGAACAAGGGGGGGGGGGTGTTTCACATGTGCAGATGCAAGCGCAGTAACCCCTTCCTGCTCGGGCTTCCTCTCTGGGCCAGGCACGCCGACATGGCAGCCCGGCCTCCAGTGGCGA